CCTCTGCTGAAGTGCACTGGTGGGGACCCCCTCTTCATCCCCCTGTGCTAAAGCCCGCCAGCCGGGATCCCCTCTTCAGTCTCGCTGTGTGCAGAGGGGTGGTGAGGCAGGCCAGAGGAGAACGTGAGGGGACCTGACCCCAGAGTCCAGAATCCTCCAGGAGCTCAGCCCAGGGCAGGGCAGGGAGAGAGCCGGGGGGCCCCTCTTTCACCCCGGGGGCGACCCCCCCCCCCCGGCTGTACCCTCCAGGCCGACGGCTCCTTGGCTCCGCGGGTCGCTCCCAGGGAAGGAACGGCAGCTCTGGGCAGGCCTGTCGGAGTGACACAGGAGCCTGCTGACGCACGGGATTCCACGGGCGCCTTCCCGAGGGACCCGGCGCGAGTCGGATTTCCTGCACACGCGCCCCCTTCCCCCCCCTCCCGGCCGCAGGGAGCTGCTGGCGCTGAGCGCGGGACAGCCTTCCGACGACGAGAGCGATCGGTTAGAAAACGGCGTTGCTGTTGAGCAGCAGGTCGTTGGCAGGTGCCGACAGCAGAGCTGTTTCTGACAGAGAAAGCCAACCCCCCCCTCTCTCTCATCTGGGGTCGCTCGACCCCAACCACCTGCCGATCGTGTACGTTCGTGAGTTCGAGCGGGGAGCGGCATGCGTAGGCTGCGAAGGAGCAAGTGCAGGTTTATTCCTCGCTGGAGAGAGAAGGCAAGAAAAGAAACAAAACGCCAAAACTTCAGGTTTGGGGAAGGCTCCACGGCTGAAACGTCGTGTTTCTTTTCTTCTCTTTTTTCAGCTCGGTGTGTTTTAATGCTCCGTTGCGATGCCGTTTGGCGGGGGTGCCCATGAGCGCCGTCGCGTGTTTGTGAAGCGGTAGGGCACCTCACGCTTTTCTCGCAAGCCTTACGCAGCAGCGGTTGTCTGTTTCCTCCCCAGGCTCCAGCGCAGTGCGTCCCGGGACACTGGCCGTGGAGCCCCCCTCAGGCCCAGGTGGGTGAGACTCTTTGCGTGTGCTCTGTCGGATCTGCCCCCGCGCTGAGCTCGACTCGGGTGCTCCTGCTCCCCTGCTCGAAGGGGGCGCTCCGAGGCGTGGGCACTGGGGAGGCCGTCGGCGGGGTGGCTGGCTTGCAAGACCAGTCGGTGTTTTGACGTTTTCTTTGTTTTCCCGTCGGCTGTTTTTCAAGATATTAAAAAAGCCCCTTTAAATTCTTTGTCCGTCCATTTGTCGTCGGTAATGGCTATGACCTCGGAGGGGCGCGGCGAGGGGGGGCCTGACCGGGCTGACGCGACTGCACGCCAGCCCACCGCAGGGCACTCACGGTGTGGAGGGGGCGATTTAACAACATGTCACTGGACTCCTCTGTGGGACGAAATCTTGGGGAGACTTAAAATGACAGTCGGTGCTCGGATATGTCATTGTCAGAGGTGTTGACCTCACATCCAAGAGAGGTGTTGTTAAAATCGCCCGGTGCGCAAGTGAGGCCCCGTTCAGAATTCTGTAGGCAGTTCTGCTCACCACGTTACTCAAAAGACATGGCTGTTCTGGAAAAGAGCAGCTGCGTACCTTCTGGGGATGAAGAGAATAACGCCCTACACTGGCAGACGGCAGGAACTGAGCCCGTTTCACCTGGAACAGGAAAGACTGCCAGGGGCCCCAGTACAAGTGTGCAGAATCCCCGAAGGAGTGACGTGTGGGTGTGTTGCGGACCCGGAACTGGGGGGCAAACAGGACAGGAAAAACCTCACCCCCCAGCCCTGGCTGGTTATTGTGCAGTAATAGCCCTTCGAGTCTCCATGCAGTCCCCACACAGCCGTGTTTGTTTCTGAAGAAAACGCTTTGTATGATTCAGGAGAGAGAAAAAAACATTTACTCTCTCAATAAGCGAAACCACTCGGGTCCGCGCGAGAGGGCCGCTCTGGGAGTAAGCTACGTCCTCGTCGTAGTTGTCGAATGCTGGTGTGGCAGGGCTGTCTGCCCTGCAGGGGCTCACGCATGTTTTGTCTTGTGTGTGCGCGCCCTGTGTGGTAAAGTAAGGGTCTCTCAGTCCACAGCGCCAGCTGGCCAGTTGGTTTATGTGCCCTCCTCTGGGGTGCGGTACTGCCCTGTGGACCTGGCGCCCCCTGAAGGAGGCTACGCCCACCCGGCTCTGTCCATACAGGAGGCCGCAGTCCCTCAGGCTCCTCAGGTGCGTCGCCCGCTGCCAGCCCGCACGCTGGCCCTGCACCCCTCACACAGCGCATGCGGTGTACGCAGACCCAATTTAGACAGCGTGCTTTGCAGCTGCAGGCCAGGAACACAGAAGATGCAAGTGCTGAACACCTGTGTAGCACAGGGCTGCTGCCTTGTTGACCTGCTCTCATTGCATGCAGCCTCCCCCTGTTTGCAGGTCCCGGGGGACGGACACCTCGAGTCCTGCTGTGGGACCCTGGCCCAGCGGAGAGCCCGGTCTCTGTCTGAGCTCCCTGCTTGTCACAGGCCTGCCACCAGGGGGCAGTGGTGTCCCTTCCTTAAAAAAACATGAAATATAAATCACTTGTGTGTAATCTATGAGAGATATGAAGAGGTATCGGGGAAACATTAAGGGGTGAATAGTGGTCACTAATAAAGTATATAACGGGGGGTTACAAAAACTGCTCTTGTGCAGATTAAGTGGGACCTTGTAAAGCCCAAAACAGGGGAGTTCAGGAGGCCGCGGATTTCTCCCATCTCCTCCTGGGCACTCTGTAAAGGGCCGGAGGTCTGGCTCTCTGCGAGCTGGAAACCAGCGCGTTCTGCTCGCTGACCACCCAGTGTGCAGTGGGGAGGGTCGCCCCTGTCCTTCTCTGGCTTGTGTTCCCTAAGTGCGTCTCCCTTTGCTGCCCCCTCCCCCTCCCAGGGACAGAGGCCGCACCCGGGAAGAAGGCGGCAGTGCCACCCCTCCTCCGTCGCTCCCAGGCCACGGCACGCCCGCAGCCCCCCCTTTAAGCCTTGGCACCAGGAGCGCCGCGCCGACGCCCCGAGGGCGCCCCCCTTGCCCAGCGCGGGCCTGTCCGAGTAGGCGGGGGGCAGGGGCGCTGGAGTCCCCCCCCACCCCCGATCCCGGTGAGCCGGAGCCCCTCGGTTCTCTCTCCGTCTCGGAGCGCCGGACAGCCGATCTGGAGGCGGAGAGGGTGACCCCGCGCCGCGTGCTGTAGGCACTGTGGGAACGCGACCCGCGTTGCGGCGCCCCGGACGGTGATCCCGAGCTGCGGCCAGCCCAGTGTCCGCTCGGGGACGGCAGCAGGCGGACTCGCAGTCTCCCCACACCTGTAGATTTGTAGTACTGTTTTGACAGAAGTGAAGGTTTGTTTGTTTTTTTTTAATCTGATGTATCCGTAGGAACTTTTTTTTACAGCCACTGGAGTTAACAACTACAACTTTTCCCTCACGTTTTGCAAGACCTGTAAGTTCCCTGGGTGGTGATTTGCGCGATGAGAATTTGAGTTCGTGTGAAGCTAGAACCGGACTGACCTCTCTCTGGTATTCCGGCGCGTGGGAGGCTTCCCCGCTACGCCGTGTGTCTCGGGAGGATTCGGCTGTGCCCGCGGGCCAGTGCTGCACTCGTGCCCACAGTTCACCGACTGTGTCGCCCTGTCTGTCAAGTGTACTTGGCTTCACCCCGCGGGAGAACATACAGAACAGCACTCCCTAGTGGGCCCCTTGCTATGAGACTTGGGATGACGCACTATAGTAGAGGAAAGGGACTGCAACAATACCACCCCCTCCCAGGTGGCGCTGCACACCTGTTAAAGACAGGAACCAGGCTCGAACCTGCAACAGCAGGGCCACGGTGCACATTCTGCACTGGTCGAGCCTCTCTGCAATCCCCTTTGACTTTTGGCTTAAATATAGAACGGTCAGGTTTTTCTATTTTTGGTGTCACCCTCCCGGTTTGGGCAGACTCCTCCGACCCGACCACCCTCGGGGGCCTGTGGGGGTCAGAGGGCCCTGGCTGACTCATCCCACCCTGCCCTAGGCATCGCTCAGTCAGTGACCGGACCCCGGCTCGAACCCGTGATCACAGGGCTCCTGTGCTGGCTGAGCCAGTCAGTAGGCCCCATGTGCATCACGCTCTTGCTCCATGTTGCAGGCTGGGAGATAATAAGCAGTGGAAGGCTGCAGTTGCGTACATGCTTAATATCCAGACTTGACGTGGCAGGTATCTTGAGAGCAGAAGTCTTGTGGTTTTTGTGTGTGTGGGCTTGTGTGTTCTGGAGCTACAGCTTATAATGTGGAGCGGAGCTCGGGGCTTACAGTCTGGACCTCATACAAGACGTGCAGGAAACCAGTCCTTCCGAAAGAAGTTGGCTTGCGTTTGGGAGCGAGGAAGCGCGCTTCTTGGCTCGGGCGCGGAGGTCAGTCTGGGCTGTATGACCGGTCCCAGGCCAGGCCGTGGCAGAGTTGGCATCGTGACAGTGTAGAGTCCACAGAAGAGAACAGATGAACAGCGAAGTGGCCAGGGCCATGCATGGTTACAGAATAAGCAGTTGCTCTTTGAAACTTTACAGCTTCTTTATATCAAGGATCTTAGATTTTTTCAATGCTGTGTATACCGTATAGTATCCTGCGTTGTCAGTGTTAAGTTTCTGTCACATGGACATGCTTTTAATTTGACTTCAGCCAATTATGTTTCCCTGTTTAAAACACTGTCTGCCTCTGCCAATGACGAAGCAAGGCCCAGCTGGTTTTCGGTTCCCATGCCCTGTGCAGTCTGCAAGAGATGCTGATCCCGTTAATTGAGGTTTGGGTGTTCGATTGCATATCTTAATATGCTTCAGTTGAGGTGCAATTTCTAAACCCGACTTAAAAAGTGTCCCCAGAATCATGGTGCTTTAACACACACACTCACCTGATGATAAACACTTTGAAAAAGAAAAACGACACAAAAAGTCAGAAAATTAAAAAAAATAGCGCCCCTTTAGTGCAGTGAGGTACAAGAATGGTCATCTGAACTCTGCTAAAGTGTTGAATCCTGTTATGATAGCCTGGCACATGGTTTTTCGAGAGAGAAACACCCTCTCTCCTTTTCGAGACCTGCTCAGAGGGGACAGAGCCAGGACAGAGTGAAACCGCTCTGTGTGGGGCTTCTGGGAGCAAAGTCAAGAGGCTGAAAGCATGTCTGTGTGTTTGCTTGGGGAAGACTGTCCACAAGTGCTTCTGTCTCAACACAGGGACGGTCACCACACCTGAAAAAATAGATCGTTTTTTTACAAAGTACCAGAACTTGACCTGCATTACTTTTGAGTTCATCTTAACGAGGAATGTGTGGGGGAAGAGGTTTTTTATAAATGGAATGAACAGATTTTTATTAATTTCTCTCTTAACCACTAAACAATACCCTGTGCTCCAACACCAGGGTGAATCAGCCCTTCGGAGGAGCGCGTGTCTTTTGTAGGTGTTTAATAAGTGTGCACTTGTTGATGAGTGTCAGCTGTGCAGCGCTCCTGGCCCATAACTGAACTGGTGAAATTCGTGATCTGTGTTTTGTACATACATTGCAGATAAACTATTATTTTATTCAGTATTGATTCATGTAAGACGTTTTGAAGCAATTAGAAGGTATGCTGGGATATTGAACAGGGAACTGTCCTTGAAGAAGAATATCTTCACCATGTGGTCATGGGCAGCACATTTCATACACTATCCTTGTGTGGAAAGAGCATTTTTTCCCAAATTCTCAGACATTAAACAAAATTGCAGTTTCCTTTTTTCTTGTTCATTGTTCATGTTGTCGTTTCTCACAGCCCTCCCTTCCAATAAAAAATCTGAAAGAAAATCAGGCTGATCGATGCATGTAAAAGTCTGATCATGGACAAGGAATAAAATCCTGGAAACTGAACGATTCAGGTCACCGTTTAAACAAATCAGGGTATTTTGTAAAGTGAGTTAATTTCATTGGCACATCTGTCTCTGTACATTTTTTTTATTTTAACAGAAAACTAGCTCTTTTCATTGAAGTGGCTTTGTGATATGTACGTATTTAAAAATACATAGTTCGAATAAATAGCTTTTGACATTTGTAGTTGTTCAAGGCTAGATGTAGCCGTTATCTCTTTGTTCTAGAGAGTAGGAAGTTTATAAGTGGAAGAATACAGTGTTAGGGTATTTTCTGTATTGTTGAGCACAAACGTTTTGTACACTGAAAAATAAAGTTAAATTTATCGAAACCAGTGTTTTTTGTGTGGTTAGTATACGGTGTCTATAGAGTCATCACATCCTTTTCAAAATAACCCGTTTTGTGGCCCAAGTGCCTGAAATCACTTGTATATATGCAAATATACAGTTATCCAACTCTTTTTTTCCAGGGTTTCATTTGTGATTACTGGTGTTTTACTTGTGTTACAATGTGCAAGTAAAATACATTCTCGTGCACTGTGTCTAGTTTGCAGGCTCTTGAGCCACAAGCCCTGTGACTCTGGAAGGAGCGTGCCGACGGGGGTGAGCACTGCTGTGGACGTGTCTGGGCTCTTTCATGGGCTGCAAAGCTGGAGCAGACAGGAAGTGAGGGGGGCCTCCCTCATGCACCCGTGCCCCATGTGGGCCCCCGGGGGGGCTGGGACTGGGAATGCCACCAGCCAATCACCAGCCAGCCTCCTGGCGCTCCTGTCCGTCTGTCCCCAGTTGTTTTCCCGGCCGGCCGTCTGTCGGGAGTGTCTTGCCCAAACCCCCGTCGCTCTCCCTGCTGCTGTGCTGCGTGTTCCCCTGTGTTTGTGCCGCTGGTCGGCCGCAGGGTCCCCTGGCAGCTCACAGCACTGGTTTTACCATCGGCCTCCCCGGCCTTCCCCAGCCTGCCTGCTCCGAACAGGGCCGCAGTGTTTGGGACACTTGCGTCCCCCTGACCTTTGCAGCTGATGGTCTCTTTCCCCATCGTTCTGTGCGTCTTCTCCCCCCCGTTATCACAGGTCGAGTCCCCACGCACGGCGACAAAAGGAGCCTCTTCCTCCCAGCGCCGGCTTGCGGCTGCGCGGACATCTCGTCTCTCTTGCGCAGCAAAGCCCAGTAGCGGAGGGGGAAGGCTTGGAGATTCACCCTGGGTACTTCTACAAGGAATTTAAACCTTTCTAAGATCCTCCCGGTCTCCGGGATAGAGAGAGACCTGCTCACGCAGTGGCCTGCGTCTCCAGCGGCAGGGACGGCCTTCTGCACAAAGCAGAGCTGTGTGTAAAACTGTCTGAAGGGGCCAATCGCAATGGATGTGTCGCCCCTTCCCCCCCGTGGGCGCAGGCCGTGTTGCTAGTGCTCGGAGAGTTCCTGGGAAACGGGGATAAAGCAGGTCTGTTCAGAGCTCCTAGACGATGCAACTCTTCAGGAATGCCATGGGAAAAAATTGGCCGGGGGGGGAGGTGAGGATTAGCGCTGGCGGGAGGGGCCTCAGCACCTCACCCTTGCACACTTGGCAGGGGGCAGCTGGCTGGGCGGCAGGGTGAGGTTTGACCCCAAGGGGCAGGATTGCGTTGTACTCCGGACCAGCTCGTTGCCAGCCGGCACCAGGACCGAGCACATGATGGTGTAAAGACTGACGTCTCTGGTCAGCGGGATGATTTTATTCCCTGCCCCCGTGCCCCGGAAAGAATAACTGCCACAGTTTTACAGTTTTCGTGCAAGTAGACGGAAAAAATTTGCGAAGCGAGCCGGATGCCAGTTTCTGTGTAGAGGGAAAGGCCTAAATCCTTTTTTCTCCATCTGCTGCTGAAACAGTGTTGAACCGGGTTGCCGAGGTAGTACCAGCTGATGTCACTGATGAGATAATACAAGGTGTGCATAATCAAATGAAAAAGGATGTTGCTTCATTATAAACAGGGTAGTTAAAACTGATTAAAAGGTTTGGATGTGCTGTGTTACTGTGCTGTGTGCGTTAAGCTGTTCTATTGTCAATAGCCTTTTATGAAAGGTGCTACATTAAAACAGTGAGTTGGCAGTGGCTGGTGAGAATGATGCACGGTCCCCCAAGCTACTTTTTATAGAAGGACACTATCCTTCCAAACCCTGTTTATTCTGTATTTAAGGCTATAGCATATTCGTGTTTAGTGATGACGGGGAGTGTGCTCATTGCATGCAGCGAAGAAGATACCAGAGCAGTTTGACTAGTGACAGAAGCACCTAGTGTAAGGGCTCCACAGCAGTGTGCCTACTAGGATTTGAACCCACAACCCTCCAGTCCAGATTCCAGAGCCTCGGCCACTACACCGCGCTATAAACCCCTTCCCCCTCATCTCTTGGTCACTTCCTGGACTGCAGTTGTCCAGCTTGTCTGTGCCAGTCACCTGTGCCACTGCAGCACTGCCAGTGAGACAGGCTGGCCCAG